CTGTATAAAACTGTATGAGGTTGAAGTTGAAGGGAGGAAGCAGTAAGGACAGTTACATAGGGATGAACCTAAATTCATATTAACATATAGAATCCCTCATATTTCAGAAGTCATGATGGAAAACATGTTATTTATGCTTCCTTTTAAAAATGGTTCTACATAGTACCAAATGGGTTCTGCTGTTGTTACAAGTCATAGAACCATTTTGGGCACTTTAGAGAGCCCCTTTTTGCTAAGACATAGAGTTTAGTTTTGTTCTGCACAGTTTTGATTTAATGTTTGTGTTTTTAAAACCTACTTTTTGTTAATTTTATTGCAGTCTGTTTTTTTACTGTTTTTGTTTTTGGTTTTTGTTAACTTTGGCACTAATTCTGTATTATATCTAACATGTCCAATAAAAAAGTTATATATATATATATATATATATATATTATATATATATATATATTTTCAGTTTTTGACATTATTTAAACATGTCTGTTTCCCTTTTCTTTTTAATGTAAATTCCATGATAAATGGACCCAAAGAAACGGCTCAAAACGACTCTGAAAAAAGTCTGGTTCCATTGACTTACATTAAAAGTAAAGTATGTTCTTTCCTTCTCCTGTAAAATTATCATTTTGGAGATACAAGGTTTTCTTCCGACTGTGATATATACATATCTTCATTTTCACAGGGCACGTTTAATCGTATAAAAAAAATCTTAGCTCTTAATTTTTTTTTACACCGTTTGAAAGTGTCAAACATCCTTTAACACTGTGTGAATGTTTCATAATGATTCGCTCTTTGGCAATGGGGTCAAAATTACTCTACATTATACAGGCTCCTTACATTATCTCACATTAACATACAGTACTGTGCAAAAGTCAGAGACCACCTTTCATTTATCTAATTTTCAGTCAAAACAGCTATTATGTGCCATTAAGCCACTAATAAAGCCATAAATTATTAATTTTTGGGGATTACTTGATTGGTGAGAAACAGAAAATGCAACAAACTTCTGAGACTGAACTTTGGAAGTGTGGAAAAATATTTTTGCAGATTTCTCTGAAAAACTGAAAGAATGTTTCCTGAAAAGAATGGAAATTCTGATGCAAAGTATAATCTTTTTCATGTGTCTTCTTGTTTTGAATACCCTTTTTTATTGTTTTTTCCCTTTTTTTTCAATGAATGGCTGGTGGTCTCTGACTTCTGCACAGACTGTACATTAATGTGCATTAAAGTCATGAATGTTTCCTCCATTCTCTGTAAAGTTACTGTTTCAATGAGTCAAGCTTTACGGAGGCGTATTTCATTTAATGTATATGTTTTTGTTTCATTTTTTACTGGAGTGTTAAACGGTCATTGTGTGTGTGTGTGCGCGCGTGTGTGTGTGTGTGTGTGCATGCGTGAGAGAGAGACAGTAGGTGAGTGTAAGGGGAAAAGGAGAGGCGTGAGAGAGATTGAGGGGAAGAGAGCGAGGGATGAGAGGATGTGGTGTTAGATGAAAGAGTGGCCATAAATTTCATTTAGACAGACTAATAAAACTCTCTCTATCCTCCGAGTCCCCCCGCTCTTCCCTCCAGCGCTGAGACCTCTCTCACACAAACAGCACAGCCGCACAAAACAGGCTTTACAGAAGGATTTATTCATGTGACACTGTACCAAAAAAGAGAAATAAATAAAATAATTAATAAATACTTTAAAAAAAACCCATCGAAATATACAAACACACAGAGATGTGACTTTTGCACATGAGAAAAGTTCCTGGTCCACTTGTGCATGTGCTTCTCTTGTTTTTTATCAGCGGCAACAACACCTACACACACATGTACCGACAACCATGTTTGTTTTTACACCCTATCAGGACGTGGGGTCAGACCTTTGTCCCATATATTTTACATATATACCTAGTCCAAACCATTACCTCAGTAACTGAAAAGAAATGGTTTTAAAGGGCCCATATGACATCAGAACCACGTCTCCTTGTTTGTTTTTAAATAAAAAAAAGATTGATATAGTATGTAAACAGTGTTAATATTATAAAAACTGGGTCCATACAATTCATATATGGAAAGTAATTGTGAAAACAACACTTTGCATTCACTTCATATATTCATATACACCAATTCATCCTACAGCAGTTTAGCTCCGCCTATTCACATTGATGTTATAGTGTTTTAGCCCAGACGACTTTCAGAAAAAAGGCACAAAACAACCCAGATAGCAGACAGTTTTAGGCCAATTATGGCTTTCCTATGTGACTGTTGGTTGACTAACGGGTAAATGCTAGGTATGCAGGTCAGAATACGGCCAGATCCTGGAAAGTTTCATACGGTTCTGCCTCGTGTCTACATTCATGGGACAATTCTGGCGTGAATGTTGTGAACCAACAATGTAGTTGGGCCAGATTAGGGCCAAATTTGGGCCATATCCTTTAGTTCTACTCACTTTACAGTGTGTGGGCCAGATCTGGGCCGAGGACCCAGAACAAACCAAGGGCCAGAACAAACCAAGGATATGGCCCAGAAGTGGGCCTGACAAATTTGCTAACTGGGAAGGCAGCCAATCAGAACATATACATATATCAGTCATAAAGGCACAGCAATCAATAACAACCAGTGATAGAAAGAAGTTTGAAAAAGGTCATTCAAAAATGAAATCTGTCAATTTTTCATACATGACCCCACACAAACATCATAAGTGGACCACTGTGGAAAAATAAAATAAGAAAAATATAAGATATGGGCCCTTTAAAAAAATGAAAAACCATGGAGTGTTTGTAAAAAGCACCTTACACAGTCAGGGCAATTTTGGCGGCACTGTTTTTCATTAGTTTTGCTACAATTTGGGTCATTTTGGTCCTGAAAATGTACCAAAACAAACACACAAACACGTTTGCGAACACCGTACAGGAAAGTTCTCGTACGGGACACTAGTGATCCACTCGTTATTGGGAAAAGTGAATAAACTGGGTGATCTGCTAACGCACCAGTTCCACACACACGCATGATGAACAGCATTATGGTAAGTCTGCTGGTGTGCTGGCGTGTGTGGGAGTGGAAAGACTGTGGTGACCGCTAGTGACGAGTTGCTGAGTCAGTTAATGAGACAGCAGGAGCTTTCTCTGCTCTTTTTTTCCATTCCTCAACTCTCCCTTTTATCCTTTATTTCCCCCATTCAGCCTTTCCCCTCTGTTTCAGTCCGAACGTGATTCATGATTCACTTTCCCTAAACTGCTGAGTCGCCTCTCGCACTCAAAGAGTGGCCTGTCTCCTCCGTTTCAGGCCAGTTCATCTGTGTCCTCTTTTTCAGGCCAGTCTGGTTTTTCCATGAGAGTGCAAAGTGCGAGACCGAACCGTGTTCTTTTCAGTCCTGTCCTGGAGCGAAATTCATCTCCACACATGACCTTTCACCCACATACACACAGAAACACCACTGTTCAATAGATTGGAATCGCTTCTCATATTATCACTTTTTGTTATTTCATATACAGTCATATGCAAAAGTTTGAGGAATACAGTCAAATTACATGTTTTGTTGATATTCTAAGTGAAAATAAGTGAACACATCCTCTACAGGGAACTGGGCTAATTTTAGCACACAATGCCTATTTATTTGCTGAGTTTAACATTTTGGAAAAGATAAAACTTAAAATATGAAATGTGCCATAATTTTTGCACAGGTCACATTTTATGTTTCATATTTTTCCCAATACATCACTCAGCAAATAAATGGTGATTGTGCATTAAAATCTGTAAAACTTTATCTGTTTTCAGGTGTCTAATTTATAATATTAAAATCTAAAATGTATTATTATATATAAAGTAGTGCCTGACCGATATGAACATATTGTGACCAAAAAGAATACCAATTTTAGGAGACTAAAAAATCAGATAACTGATCACACTGGCTGATATTATTGTATATTCTCATACAAGATTTTTCCTTCTAATAGTTTTAGTTTGGTGCTTTACTGATACATATAATTACCCGTTCTCAATTATTAAACTGCTTGAATTCAAACGACAGAAACTCAGTTTTAACTACACTCTTTGCACGATGCCGTAGAAGAAGCACCTTTGGTTCCTTAAAGAACCTTTCATATGTATGCATGTGGGGTGCTGGAGCCTATCCCAGCTCTCATTGGGCGGAAGGCAGGATACACCCTGGACAGGTCGCCAGTCCATCGCAGGGCAAGAACCTTTCAATGACTGATAATTTATAAATGTTATGCATCATATATTATAATTAGATTTATACAGGCATTTGCAAAAGACATGCCTTGTCAAATTTTGTTGACTGTGTAAGTTTCTATTTTTCAATTTTTCTTTTCTACATCATTTGAGCACAGCAGCTGCCCTTTTCGCTGCGTAAAAAAATCATGATAAATGTACCAATGGAAATTGCTTGGAATAAAAAAAAATTACCCATAAAACTAAAATATAAAATATAAAGTTTACCATAACTTTTGCATGGCTACATTTTCTGTTAAATCCCCCCCAGTATGTTACATTCAGCAAATAAACAGTAGGTGTGCGTTAAACTGTGCAGAGGTGTAGAGGATGTTTTGACTTATTTTCACTTAGAAAATCAACAAAACATGTCATTTCACCAGGGATGTCCAAACGTTTGCATACAACTTTTAATTGAAGTAAATCGGAACAACATCCAAGTACTTTGAATATTGGTCCACCCCACAGACCACTTCAGTAGCACTCTCTATGTTTGTTATGTTTGTACATTTTAAATTTTGGACCATTTCTATTGGTCCATTCATCATGAAGTTGGCCAGCTGGTGTATTTATATTCTGCAAAAAAAAAAAAAAATCAAAAAAAGGAGATACAAGGTTTTGTTCCCACAGCAACAATAAAGAACAGGGGTGCTTAACTTTCGTACTGGCGTTTTGGCATCCAGTATAGTTTGGTGATTCCCATCATTCCTTTAAACTATTGAAAACAGTGAATCCATACATTTAAGTGATGATTCCAAACTTTTGAACATATAAGCACACTCGCTCTCATACACGCAGTCGTTTCTTCAGTCTGGTGAAGTCTTTGGCGGACCTCCACAGCCAGCTCTGCAGCTCCCGCAGCACCCAGAAGCCCTCCACCTTCCGTGTGAAGTCGTTCAGTGCAGGACGTCCCGTGGTCAGCGAGCCAGGAACCTCCGCGTCTGAGTATAGGAGTGTGAGGGGAGAGAAGGTCGAGGGAGGAGGGAGGGCGCGTCCTGAGCGCACTGGTCGGAGGGATGGAGAGGAGAAGAGGACAGGGACGCTCTGTTTTTCTTCTTCTTCTTCTTCTCCACTTGTCCTTCGCACTCTCTCTCTCTGTGGTAGAGCGTCTATGGGAAACTGGCTGTTATTGCTATTAATGTTACTGTATTTGTCCTCACTGTATTGGCTGAAATAGCTCATGTGGGTGTTGTTCTTGTTGCTGCTGTTCTGGTCATAGCTCTGGCCAGCTCCTTGACCATCTTCGTCTTCTTCCACCGTCAGCAGCTTCCTTCTCCTCCCCCATCTTTCCAAACCTTCCTCCCTCTCTTCTTCCTCTCTTTCTGCCCAGCTCTCTCCTTCTCTCCTTCTTCCTCTCCTCCCTCTTTCTCTATCCCTCTTTCTCTCAGCGTCCACTCCAGGCGTCCCCTCTCTGACCCCTGATGCGGTCATGCCACCCTGGTTCCGGGCCGGGTTGTTCCTCAGTGGGATGGGGCTGTTCGCGCTGGCTCTCTGCAGAGAGGTCAGCAGAGGTCCGTATCTCTGATTGGCCGGTCCGTTGGCATGCAGGGGTGGAGTGTATCCCAGGGCGTTCATCAGGCCCGATATAGAGCCCAGCAGGCCGCTGAGTCCAGAGCAGAAATGCAACAGGGAGCTCTGGAGGTAGGGGCACAGTGTGGAGCGGGCCAGCTCCCTCACAGCGCTCAACAGGACGCTGTAGGCTCGCTGGTTCTGTGCCAGGCGCGCACCGTTCTCCAGGCCTCGCCACAGATCTACCCGTGTGGCTGCGCTAGGAACTGCCAGAGAGGAGATGTTGGGGCGCGGCGGAGAGAAGCCAGGGTCACTGAACGGAGGGCCAAGATATGAGAGCTGAGAGAGAGGAGAGAGAGAGAGAGAGAGAGAGAGAGAGAGATCAAATTTCACACATTTTACAAATTTCAGTCAATATGAATGGCATTTATTCATGCATGCAAAACTTTCAGTTTACATGCTTTGTTGATTTTTGAAGTGAAAATGAATTAACTCACCCTACATGGAACACACTTCAGATCTGACTTCACATGTCAGATTTCATGCAAATTTTTATCACCCAATTTTTATTTATTACATATAGGAAAAATGTTTAAATATATCGCTGCTGTCAGAACAAAGCCTCTTATTTCCAAAATGATAACTTTACAGGAGAAGGAAAAAACATACTCTACTTTTAATGTAAGTCAATGGAACCAGACTTTTTTCCAAGTCATTTTGGGCCGTTTATTTTGGCCCTTTCATCATGAAATTTACATACAATGTAAAGGGCAACAGGCATTTTCAAATTATGTCAAAAACTGAAAAATGTCAAAAATGGAGATGAGGTTTTGTTCCAACAGCAGATTTACAGCAATATGTGCAAATGTGCCTTGACTTTTACACAAACTACATGTTACACGTGTATTTTTTCCAGTATGTTATTCTCACCAACATTCATTGTGTATTAAAATGCGCAGAAGTGTGTTCCCTGTTGTGGACGTGTTCACTTATTTTCACTTAGAACATCAAAAAACATGTGACCAGAGGTGCCCAAACTTTTGCATATGATTACACACTACTTACACAGCTGTTCAGACTCATCATTCAAAAGTTTGGAATCACTGTTGATAAAATTAAACTCGGTTCCTTACAGACGAATAGAGTAATTCTACTATATAATCATATATTGGTCAAATTACACGTTTTATTGTTGTTCTAAATGAAAATAAATAAACGCATCCTCTACAGACAACATACTTCACATTTTAGGCACAGTGACTGTTTATTTACTGAATTTTTTTCATATTGCGAAGGCATTAAACTTAAATTGTGGCTGTGCAATAGTTATGGCACATTTTATATTTTATATTTTAGTTTTATTGGTAAAGATTTTTTATTCCAAGCAATTTCCATTGGTCCAATTATTATGAAGTGTTCACGCAGTGAAAAAGGCAGCTGCTGTGCTCAAATGATGTAGAAAAAGAAAAGTGAAAAATGAATAGAAAAAAAGAGAACATTATATGTGGCCTATGCAAAAGTTATGGCACCTTTTAATTTAAACTTTTTGTCAGTTCTAAACTCAATCGAGAGAAACAGCAGGTAAACGCAATAGAAATTGTACATAAAATGATTATATTATTATATTTAAGTTCCCTGTATAGGATGTGTTTTTCATTTAGATAATTAACAAAACATGTTATTTGTCCAGCAATATTCAAACTTTTGCATACGACTGCAATAACACTGTGCAACTTCACAAATTTCAAATTATTAGTGGAAAGCTGTGATAAATCAAATTTTAGAGTGTTGAACAGAGCTCTATAATGATTCTGAAATGACTGAGAAGAGCTGTCTAACATCAAAAATAAAGGTATATTAACATTAATATCCACAAAGCCTCATATTTTATAAATCTTACAGAAGATAACTTAACAAGAACCTGCTTTGAATAGATAATTGACTAGAAGTTGTTCCCAAACTGAAGTATTATAAGAGTAAAGCATCTAAAATACCTTTAAATATGTAGTTAAAAGCATTTAAAACTAGGCTGAAACTTATTGTTGTATTTAAAATGCTGAAAAATATTACTACGACAAATGAGTCCAAACTTCTGAACAGTTTTGTGTAGCCTCAGAAAAAAAAGAAAAAGAACTGGGTTTCTGTTTCCCACTGTTTTTCATCCAAAATAAACACAGACAGGCTATTTGGACAGAGTTGCAAAAATGGAACAGGATTTAGAGACAAAAGCAGCGAAGAAGACAGAAGAGTAGAGAGGAAAAAGTGTGTGCGGGTGTTACGCTCTTAGTGGGGACCTAATGTCCTTTTAGATGGTGGAAAACATCTAATTTTGACATGGTGGAGACATCTGTGTGGTGTCCATGGGGATTTTTTTGTGTTAAATGAAAAACAAATAAAAAACAAGAAAAAGTAAAAGATTTTCGATGTGGTTCCTGAGGTCAAGTTCGGGGTTGGGTTAGGCACAGTGGAATTTAGCTACAATCATACAAACATCAGTGGAAATACCCCACAAAGGAATACAAACTTTTGCATGTGTGTGGTGGTGGTTGTGGGGGGGTCACAGAGACGAGTGACGAGAGGGAAAAACACACACACAAACATAAACATGCGAAACCGCAAGCGCAATAACTCAAGACTCACGTAAGTGTCTTTGATTTCTTTCAGCTGGTGGTCCAGGTATTTGGTCAGCTCGTACGTCCTCTCTATGGTGCTCCGCTCATTGGACAATATGACAGCGCGGTCCTGCACCTGGACACACCCCACCACGGCAGCCAAAAGCAGCACAAGGGGAGCCTGATGGACTGGAAAGAACAAAACAGAAAGAAAGGATGTTTATGGTGTTCAGATGGTCCTCGCAAACTGTCGTGTCAACAAATTGTAACTACCTGTTGTTTCTAATCGGCAACTGGTAAATTTCCCTTATATAAAGCGTCAAGATTAGGACTTTAAGACTTTAGATTTCCATAGTGCTGTATTGGGGGGGGGCACTATAGTGCTATCTTGGCCACTGTGTATTTTACATTGCCTCTGTCATTCTTCAGCTTCAGAGAGGTGAGTCTCACCCTAAGAATACAGCTTGAGCCGAACATAAAAACCCCCAGGATGCCTGGTGAGTGGATTACGATTAGAAAACTCAAATCATATTTGAAGGTGGTCAGAGACAAATCTTGACCGCATTTAACACAAGTGTAAACGGACTGCGTTTTTGTTATCCATATACAATTACGTGAGCAGAAGTCTGCTGAGCGCTGACTAGCAGATGAGAGAATAAACAATGACACAGAAGACCTGGGACTCACGAGGCCGAAGTTAGCCCCAAACCAAATGCCTTCTTGCACTCCAGGCCAATCAAAATGTCTAAGCCAAGTTTGTCCACTCATATGGCGATGACGCGTGTGTTGACGTGCTTTTTACGTGGGAAAAGTACAATCGGATCTTATCTGGTAACACTGGAGACGCATTTTAGTGAAAAGCGTAAACGGAATTCGGTAAAGTTTATCCAGATATGATCCGGTGGTGTAAACAGGCTCCTAGAGTCACCACTCTTGGGCCCCCCCTTCTGGTGCAGTACCTCGGCCTGTGGTTTTCCTGATTAACTTGTCACGCGTCATCACTGCATGGGCAATCCCAGCAATGAAACACTGAAAATCTCTTTAAGAAAGTGTCACATTCTATTATGTGACTATTTTGAACAACAACCAAACATAATTTTGGCAATAGGTGGCATTAATAACTTGTTAGACCAAGTTTTCATTATTAAAAAGCAAGCATTTATACAAAACTCTGAAGCTTGTAGCGCTATAACTCACTGCTACACTCCCATTCAATAGCCTATGTAGTAATACCATGGCTTGCATGCCAGCGACTGGGGTTCAAATCTCTGCATAGACAGTAATGGTAATATTTTGCAGGCTTAGGAAAAAAATGTTTTGATAAAAAATTTTATCTGAAACAATAATAAACTGTCTCTTTGGATAAGATTCTTCGTAATATGCGTTAAACTAAATTAAGTTTATTTGTTGTTCATGTTGCCCTTTTTCCTAATGAGCCCCTACACCCTCCACCCAAAATGTGTGTGCAGAGTTTTAGACGATAGGCGGAGTCTTTTTTAGCCACACCCCTGCATTTAAGAGCAGAAAGTGAGACTGAATCCCTGTCCCTCATGGCCACATGGTGAGCAGTCAGACCCCATTGTATTGACATAAATGTGTTCTAAAGCCTTAAAATCTGTATACAACATGAGAATTGTCACTACTGAAACACGTATTTTCTGCAATTAAGTAAACGTTTTGTGTTTTAATAAAAAAATTATGATTTTATGTGTGTACAACTGCTCAAAGCTGTGTTTGCTATTCATGTATTGGGCAGTATTTATGAGTTCTGCTTAAAAATAGCTACAATTGTCATTATCTAAATAGTCACTACTTAAGCATTCGGTAGTTTTGGTAGTGCTGTGATTGTTTTGGTGGCTGCAATGGACTAGAAACACTGTTCACTGCAAAATATGATTTGTTGTTGGTTGCTTACTGATTGGCCCTGCCTATTTACTTCAGGTATCATTAATCTCATGATCATTTACACACATTATGATATATAAATTGAAGTGTCATCAGCATATTTACCACTGGTGCACTGACTGCTGGTATGGTCTATTGTTTTCATGGAGACCTGACAAAATATAAGGTTTTAGGTCAGGTTTGAGCTGATTTTTCATGTACAGTGTTTGTTTTTGTTTGAAAGAAACTGCCAACATAAATTTCACGCACCCTCATGCATTTTCTCTCTTGCACTCTCACTCTCTCTCTCTCCCTCTATCTCTCTCTAGTATAGTCTAGTATGTATACAAAAGGGCCAGTCTTCCTTACAATTCGTCTTGGATGAAATAAAGGGGAACAGTTTAAAATTTCACGAGTCACAGTCGTCTTCATTGTGGACACATTATGATCTGGTTGTTTGGTCAAATAATATCACACTGGCCACATACAGTGTCCAGTTTGCCTTAGTATTTTGAGTTATAATAGCAGGAAGACTGGCATGTCATCTCTTTAGTGACATGTTTACTGTGGACGCAGCAGTTCTGCAACAGATAGACAGCAACAAATGTCAGTGTCAGGGTATTTCCTCACACCCGTTAAGTCACTGTCGGCTACAGCAAAAGCTCGGCCTTTGGATTCGTTTTTTGAAGTCCAATTTCTATCAATCAACTCAAGCGCTTACTAACAAACCAAAGCACTGTAAACTGTGTCTGGGATAATCGATCACTATTAGCGTGTGTAAGCAAGTTCAGGTTTCAAATTTCGCACTTCGGGTTGGGTCAGATCTCAAAGTCGTGGGTACGCTTCAGGTTCGGGCTTCAGTTTTAAGCCTGTGCAGACCTCTATTTCACGTGGCATCAGAAACAATACTGGCTGGCGATGTGTCACAAGTCGTAAACTCATGCCTCTTCCCTGAGTTTACCACTTGTATTTACAATTTTGTCAGCCGTTTGAGCGCAGCTTCCTTGAGGTAAACTCAGAAATTCAGAAGTTTACAAGGACCGTACAAACACACCATTAGCAGTGAAGACATGGTCTTCACTAAAGGTGATTTTAATCAGTATTGCTCCATTATTCACTGAGTGAGAGGTTAATCTTTTGGCTCGAACGTAGAATTTCTCAGACATGAATTCAGATTTACAGCGCAAGTGCCAAGACGCAGCATTTATCAAAACACGTCGCAAAACCCAAAGAAACAAAAATGTTGATGTTCTTATGAGAACCATTTCCTGCAAATCCCGTCGCAGCTGTCACAATTCAAAACACTCGGATCAAATAAAACAATCAAATCAGGCGCACTGACTACAAGACAAATAGTGTGTTTACTCTTCAGTAGACAGTGACTCAGTCAACACTAACTACAACTGTCAGCTCTAAATATGCAAAAAGCCAAAGGCCTCTTTCCCAATGTCTTGCTGTGAGCCTTTAGACAAAGTGCGGAGAGTTTTGCTCAGTACAGAACTGTCACTTGTGTCGTAATTTGCAGAACAGCTGTAAAAACCGAAAACCAAAGTAAAACAAAATGGTCAGCTCTTCGTTCTTTGACTGGGATGCAAATTGAGCTCCCAAAAATCTCTTTATTTCGCTAAAAGAAGTGGACAATTATGAACCTCAGGTATTTGGCAATTAGTTTCAGCTTGGACCTCTTCTAATTTAATATATGTTTTGTTTGCTGGTTTGCAATAACTTTATATGTTACATAATCCATTTTACAATTTGTTTTCTTTTTATCCATTTACCACCACAACACTAATGCTAGTTAGTGCTAGTATGTGATTTGCAATATTATGTTAGCATTGAGCTAACGGTGGTGTATATTTACCTTCCTACACTACGTATAGCAGCTCTAATTTAAAGTTTTAGCAAATATTTCAACTTAAAGGCTTAATTAGATTAGCCTGCTAGCTATTTACCAAGTTAATAGCTGTAATGAACAGTGTGCCTATATTGGGCTATATTAATTTTTAAAGCAATGAAATGAATTAAAATGAAACCAGATACTCCCACAAGAAATGTCTTGCCACAGCCATTAAATTGGGTGTTGTTGTAAAAGCATATGGCACATCTTAGCATTCATATTAAATATTCTATCTATAGAAACATGTTTACTTCACACCCAATGGTTATTCATTTTACAGCATGGTAGGTAACAGAAGACGTTTTAGTGTGGTGGCTAGGTATAGAATGGCGTGTTATCTGCTATCAAGGTCTCTGTAATATATCTGGATATGATTTTTTCCCTTTGTTGTGATGTCAGCATTCAAAACTTCCAGGTGTTTAAACCATTTTTGTTCCAAAAAAGTTTCAATGATAAAATAGTTTGGAAAATAAAACTATTAAATCATTCTTTAGCTAAAACCTGCTCTCCATACCAAGGAAGACCTCATTAAGCTAAACAAAATATACCTATAAGACTAGCACCATGACGGAAAAACCAGTACGGTTGGTCACCAGCAAAACCAGCATATGTTGTATTTTGGATGCTTGTATGTCAGCATGACCATGTTGGGTGACCAGCTAAATCAGCACTAGACAAGCATAAACCAGCTTAGACCAGTCTGTGCTGTTTTTTCTGCAGTGCAAAGAGCTGTTTTATGTTTTAGATCCTCAAAAATGTATATGTTTAGATTTCCTTGGATGGTGTATTGTGATAAAGGTAGACTGAAATTTGTATCAAATGTGTTAAGTTCACATTTTTCCATCAAAAAAACATGCTTTCTCAGCATATCTGGAAAAAGTAATTCGTGGTGAGCTGTACAGTGCAGCTAAGTTTTGTATGCCACAAATGAGCTTTAACCTATGAAGGTCCAATATACTAATGTGCCAGTCACCATTGAGAGTCATAAGGGGCAGCATGAGGGCAGCACCCAAACCTCAAGTACCAATGAGAGCGCTAAAAGCTAGCATTAGCTTAGCAAGAAGGCCTAAACAGCTGTACACACAACTGCCCAGGTTTACTCCAGCTCACTGAAGCCTCTCTGATGAGAAAAAAGACTGAAATCTGAGCTGATAAACCTCGGTTTGTGTGTGTGGAACTGTAAGCTCAAGCTATTTTTAATTCATGTCCTTGTTAGCACCAGAGGCTAACGTTAGCCTAGTGAGAAGGCTAAACCATCAGCATTTCTGGCTCACTGATGTTGCAATGAGGCATGTTTAGAGGATAAAGACTCAAATCCGAGTGAGTGACAGAAACACAGAATCTTTCTGATTACTAAAGTTACAGTGGGACCTTTGTGTTTGTGCTCTGCTTCATCTGTTCAAACATA